TCCTTTTTGATATAACAAAACTTCTTTGAAAAATTATTTTTGACAAAAAAATTTCTTTAAAAATTTATATTTTGAAAAAGATAATTTATTAAAAAATATTTAAGCTCCCACTTTTTTCTTTGAAAATTTTAATTTTCACTTACTTCTCCACTTTTTGTTATATAAAAAATAATTCAAACTTTGTTTGTTCAAAGTAACAATGGAGAGTATGTTAAAAAAAAAATTTAGCACAAAAATCATTTGAAAACAAGGCTCCCCTTAATAAAAGCATTACATGAAAAGTTTTGGCACAAAAATACTTAAACACTTAAAAGATATTGAATTTCAATAAGATAAAAAAGAGAAAACACATTAGTAGCATATGAACTTCAATAAGGGTTTGTTTGTTTGGGGGGAAATCAATTACGGAATTGGTTTTCCCCGAAATCTCGTGTTTGTTTCACGTAATTCGTTTTTCGAAAAATGTTTCCCGTGTTTGTTTCCCGTAATTCATTATTCGGAAAATGTTTTCTAGTGTTTGGTTGGAGGAAAACTGATTGGTCAACGTAAAACATTTTCCTGGTCAACAAAATTTCCTGTGTTTTCTGGAAACTGACTTACGGTCTGTTTTTTCGTAGGTCATTTTCTGAACTTTTCACTTAAAAGAATAAATACCTAAAATAATTTTATTTTATGAATTTAATATTCATAAAATATTTTAATATCATTTTAATCAAAATATTAATTATTAAAATATATTTATTAATATTTCTAATAATATAATATTATAATAAAATAATAAATTGTCCATCCAGCTCAGTTGGTAGAGCGCAAGGCTCTTAACCTTGTGGTCGTGGGATCGAGTCCCATTGGGGTAATTCATAATTGGAGGTCTTCCACGGAAGCTTCTCTTAACCTGGCGTTGGAGGCAGCCTACCACCCTACCTCCCCCTTACCCCATTACATATGGGAATAGGGTCAACTAATTTTATAAGATCTTATATTTTTATTTTAATAATATATAATAAATTATTAATAAAATTTATATTATTTATTAATTTCATAGAAATAATATTATTAAATTATTAATAATAAATAATATTATTTTTTTATTAATATAATAATATAATAATATTTTAATAAAGATATTTAAATTACACTAATTAATATTTTAAAATATAATATAACACTATTACATTAATAAATAATTAATATAATTTATAATATTTTTATTTCAATAAAATATACCAATATTAATGTTTTTATTAATAAAATTATAAAAATAATATCTAATAATAAATAAATTATTTTAATATTTTAATAATAAATAATATTTGAAAAAACTCACCAACTAGTGGAAAAAAGGTTTAAACAACATATTCCAAACATCGTAAAACTTTTTCCAGATGTTTTTAAGAAAAATGTAATTCATACGGAAAACATTTTCCGGAAAACGTTTTCCAGAAATGTAATTTATTTTCCAGAATTCAATTTCCAGTAATTCATTTTCCAGAATTCAATTTCCAGAAAACCAATAACAGCCAAACAAATAGACCCTAAATTCAAGACTATCATACTTTATGCAACAATTAGAAATGTCATTAGAACTCATATGCATAAAACACTATAAAATGTTAAGCATTTGACATAGATATCAATTGTTAGATAGATACTGTAGGCAACAAAATACATATGTATAGACATCCAAATTAAGGTCAATAAAGAAAATAAAATCATTAAGGAAAAAATAAATAAATAAATTTAACCAAAAATACACATTATGATGAACTATAATTTGATAAAAACATTTAACTTTAAAAACATGTCCATCATAACGTATTTTCAATATACATGATATAACAAACAACATATAATCAATCATGCTTAAAATCTCATGAATTAAAACATAAAATAGACAACCAATTTGCAAAATCAAAGAGCTTTAAGGTTAGAGGTTACCCATTATTCTTTTGTGTAACTAGAGCATTTGAAATTCTTTACCTTTATCATCATTGCTCCAACACACCTATAAGAGATATTTATTTGAATTTTGATACCCAAATTGCTTTGGGTCATAAAGAGTTTGTATCAATGTCTATAGTTTCTTTAGGAACTCATATTTGTCTAATTTTGAAAGATTTTCTATTTTTAATAGGACAATTATGTAGACTATGACCATGATTCTGATCACTAAAAATTTAATTTAAAGTTATATTATATCCTATGAAAAAAATTAAATGCAACATATTTAATTATGTAATTTTTAATATTATTTAATATAATGATTATATTAATACTATGTTAAATATATTTTTTTTATAAAATTTAGAGAGTGTAACGAAAATAGTTATATGAATTTTTTAGTTTAATATTAAAAATTTAAATTATTTAAAAAATAAATTATAAGCGCAGTTTGATAAAATTTACTTTAAGATAATCTTATATTTTTTAATTAAATGTTATTATTAGATTTCTGTCAAAGAAATAAAATAATATTTTTAATAATATATTATTTAATATCATATTCTAAAAATAATTTTAAGAAAAATCCTAGAAAATCAATTTAGAAATCTTGACCATGGTACTGAAATTGAGAAAAATAAAGTAAAGAACTAAGGATGACGATGCTTGATTTGATCGTCCCACCTTAATCCGTGTTAACCCCGCGTGTGCATGAATCTTGCCAGTTGCCACCGCCACTAGCATCAGGTCCTACCACACATTTTAGGTGAAATTCTTCCATTAATATTTATGTTATATATAAATTATGAATTTAACTTATATACTCTATTTTAATATTTCAAATTTATAACTATTTAACTTTTAAATTCAAGTTTTACTATTAATTTATATTATGTGTACATTTATTTTTTATTTGATATTAACTTTTTATAATTTAATTATATTATTATCATATTATTTTAATCAGAATTATAATTTATATTCTTTTATAGAAGCCGCTAATTTTCTTAAAGGTAGAAAATATCCAAATTACAATAAATGTTTACAACCACAACTGTAAACTGAACATATAATAAGAATATTTTCCTAAACACAATAAAACTAACCACTTAAAATCATATAAGGACCATACAAAGAAAATGTTAAAAAAAAATCTAACCAAATAATCTCGATCAAGAGATAAATACGAATAGATCTGACTGCGTCGGTAAACAAATCACAAAAAGAAATAAAACTATTAAAAGATCACCGACAACCACAAATCATAATCTAACGATGTGAAACTATTATCCACGAACACAAATCACATATCCAAATTCAATCCGGGGTCTAAAGCAGGGAAGATCATCATGATAACAAATAATTGTCATCTTGATCAGTTGTGACGATATCAAATCCAACTTGAAAAAATTGAAAACAACGACCAAACAATCGAAAATATGCCATAGAGGCAGAGAAAAATGTTTGATAAATGCAAAAGAATAAGTGCCAAAAAGGTAAAATTATTAAGAATAAAAAAAAGGGAAAACAAATATATGTTATAATAAAGCAAAGGAAAAATAATGAATATCGACGGTTGACAATCAGTACCAATATTAACGTCGCCGCCGATCACAAAAATAAAGAAGAAAAGAGACTAACGACATTTATTGAAAAAGAGAGAAAAAGAGAACAAACCCTACAAAAGCTTTTTGTTTTTTTATAATTATATTTTATATTTTTAAAAGTATAAAAATAAAAATTACTAAATTAATTTATAATTTACATATAATTTAGTATCTAAATTGTTACTTTTATTATGTTTTAATATCTAAATTTTATTTTTTTAAAAATTATCTCTAACGTTTAGTTTAAGTTTGACATAATACCAAAATTAGGCCCTCAAAGTTTACCAAAAGGGTCATTTTGACCCCTTAATAATTTTAGGAGCATTTTGGACCCCAACGTTTCATTTGAATGCAAAAAGGCCCCTGGCATTTGATGGAATAATCACTTTGTCCCTTATTCTTTTTTTTTCTAAGGCATTTTAGCCCTCGATATTTCTTTTTAGATTAAAAAATGCTCCTATTTTGGAGCATTAATCATGTTTTAACTAATATTTTTCATTTATATAGGGAGTTTTTTGCCCCAAAGTGGAACATTGGGGCCCAAAATGATCCAAAAAAGAATATGGACCAAAATGACCATTTTTATAAACGTTGGGGGATATTTTTGGCATTACGTCTGTAAGCTTCAATTTGTACCCTTTGTAAAAAAAATAATAAAATTACTAGGTATTTTTAAAAAATAAATGATGACATGGTATTACCTTATAGTGATATGTCAACATCATTGTTAAACTTTTAACGGCGAAATACCAAAATAAAACTTAAACTAAATGTTAGATATGATTTTGAAAAGAAATAAAATTTGGGTTCCAAAATAAAATAAAAGTAATTGTTGATGTATTAAACGTTAAGTTTACCCTATAATTAATTACTTCAAAAAATAACAATTTTTTTTTATTAATCTAGAATAAGTATAAGACAATATATGTTCAAAAATAACTCTCAATAATTTGACATTGAATTTTTATATCTTATTATTTTTGGTACTCAAACTCAAATTCTCAATAATAATAATTTTTTTATCAAAGGTAACAATTTTAAGTTGAAAACTACGTTACGTTATGTTGTTAATTTTACAGATTAATTTTATTTTTGATTTAAAGATGGTTGAATAAGAAAGGTTTTGAAGGATAAATGTAGGGTCCTTGTTTGGTAATAAAATCTGTCACAGTCATACAGTAAAGGAAAGTCAGGTCTGCCTTCCTTAGTCCCACCCTTTCACTTGGTCCAAAATGCCATGTCCTTTTTGGTGCTAACTGAAAATCATTCCTTTTATCAACGAAGAAGTTGCTTCATATATTTTTATTAAAAACTTTATTCATTAAAATTAAATGTATGATTTGAATCGGCTAGAATTAATAAAGACGAAACATCAGACGATAACTAAAAAGACCATTGCTTGGTAGTTAAGTCCGATCAAACCTATTTATACCCATCACCTTCCCCTAAACCAAACCAAACGTTTTCTTCGTCCATTTTTAAACCTTTTAAGAAGCAGATTAATGGCCTCTCCCCATGAAATTGAGGTCACCATCTCCTCCGCCAAAGACCTCAAAAACGTTAACTGGCGACACGGCCCCATCAGGCCCTACGTCGTCTTGTGGGCTGACCCCAAATACAAGTGTTCCTCCAAAGTCGACGAGGAGGGCGACAGCTCTCCCTTCTGGGACGAAACTCTGCTCATCCCTCTTGCTCCTGCTCCCATCGACGACGACACCGCTCTCTTCATCGACGTCGTCCACGCTGGCTCCGAGGATGACACCAAGCCTCTCATCGGCTCCGCTAAGATCAAGCTCCGGGAAGTCCTCGACGACGTCGGCTTCGGTGTAAGCCTCGAGAAAACTCTCAAGCTGAAGCGACCCTCTGAGAGACCCCATGGAAAACTTGACGTTAGAGTTTTGATCAGAGAGCCACGCTATTACGCGCCCGATCCTTACCGGGCACCTCCCTACGGGGTCCCACCACCGGCTTCAAGAGACTACCCAGCAGCTCCTCCGGCTTACGGCTACTCTTACCAGTACGCTCAGCCTCCCCCGCCGCAAAATCCTTACTACGCGGCCCCAGCTTCTGGGCACTACAATTATAACGCTCAGCCGGCGTACGGTGAGGGAAGTGGTGGGTACTACGGGTATGGGCAGGAGGAGAAGAAGAAGAGTAAGTTTGGGGGGATGGGGACAGGATTGGCTGTGGGTGCGGTTGCAGGGGCTTTGGGTGGGCTGGCATTAGCGGAGGGTGTGGATGCGTTGGAGGATCATTTCGAAGATGAAGTGGCGGAGAAGGTCGAAGATGATCTTGGATACGACGACGGCGGCAATGATTTCTAATCATTAATGTCAACTGAACAATTGCTAAATCTCTAGTATTTTAATCAATCAATTGATTGAGATATTGTGATTTTAAGTTTTAACCCATAAGCTTCGGCTTCCGGAAAATATGGGATTATATTTATATTCCGATATCAATGTTAAAAAACACAAATTTGTCCGAAAATAAAATATTGGAAAAACTAAATATTTAGTACATAAATTATGTTTTTTTCGATTCTTTCGAACAAGAGAGGTTTGATGTTTTTAAATTCATTGTATTAATTCTACTTCCTACTCGCAGTATGCTCTTTATGATCTCGGCTCATGATTCAATTGTCATGTATTTAGCTATTGAGCCTCAAAGTTTATGTTTTTATGTAATCGCATCACAAAAAAGAAAGTGAATTTTCCACGGAATCCAGCGAAACAAAAAAATCACAAAAAGTGCCACTAAAACTAACGCTGCAAAAGGTATCGGCGTTTGTGGACGACAAACGCCATTAAAGGTTATGATTTTTAGCGGTGTTATTTTTACAAACGCTGCTAAAGATTATGATATTTGGCGGTATTGTTGAAAACGCCTCTATATATCTTTTCTTTTGTGGTGTTTGTAAAAAACGCCGCTAAATGTTCTAACATATAGTGACGTTTGTTCCTAAAAATGTCAGATTGTGAATGTAAAATATCGCTATTGACTACGTCTATAGTGACGTTTTTGTATAAACACCGCAAAAGATCTAGAACTTTAGTGGTTTTTTTCTAAAACGTTGGTATTGAGTATGTATTTAGTGGCGTTTTTATTCAAACGCCACTAATTAAAACTGATTTTTCATATGTTGTTTTCTGCTCTTTTGTTACCCAAATTTAATTTTTTTAACTTGTAGCATTATCCAATAAACTCGACATCCATAACAACAAACTTGAAATCCATAACAACCAACTTGAAATTTATAATAATAAATCAAAGTTTACATTAACGTAAAATATAATGTAGTTCAACATTGTTAACTAGAATCAACAAAGCATATATCTAACATAACACCTAAGATGGTGGACTATGGGGTTGATTTTTTCGTATCATATGCATCATAGCATGAAGTTGATTTTCAAAGTCTTCACATTTTTTCTGATATGCTGCTTCTCTCTCTGCTTCCCTCGCTTCAGTTTCGGCTTTCATTTGAGCAACTTTTTGATCCATTTCAGCTAACTGTTGTTTTAAACGACTAACTTCTAATTGGGAAGACTGACTCTGTGATAACATGTACTGAGATGAACTAGATCCAAAATATTTGGTTGGAGTAACGAATGATCCTTGACATCAAACCTGACCATATCTTTCAGGACCCAAAACTTCATTAATAACTTGATTTTCGATGTCATCCACATTAACAATACCATGACTTGAAGTCGTAGCTTCATACTCCGCCTTTTTATCCCTCAATTTTTCCTAATAATTAATTCAATAATTATTTTAAATAAAAATGTCATATTATAGATATAAATATAACATAATTAAAATCTTATGTCTAATAAATGTACCATAATTTTGCAGCTTCATCAGTCATAAGAGTGTCATCCTTTTTTATATATGTCATGTCGAAGAGCTTTATTCGTCCAACTTTACAACCAGAAGTATTTTCCTACAATGTTGAATAAAAATTAAGTCTTGCAAAAAATTAATTAATAATATAAATAATTTTCATTACTATGTGCTACCAACTATAAATTACTATGTGAATAATCAATAATACGTCATCATTAGTTGTACAAGCAAAGCTCTTCGATCCAGTTGTGTGAGTAAACTTTTGTTATTGTCTACTAGCAACACCAACATTCTCTCGTTCCTACAATTTCAAATTTGTACTTATAAAGTCAATATTATAATGACATTATTTTGTTTTTGAAAAATACACCATACTTGTCCTTTCTTTGAACTCCAAAACCTGATTGTATCTTCCTATTGATACCTGAGCATTCCAGGTGGGACAGTTTACAGCTTCTCTTCAAGGTTGAGATCATTCTTGAAGTATTTCTTTTTTTAAAGAACTCTTGTGGTCTCTCCATTTCTTCCTTAACACTTGCTTCAAATAATCGTGTGAGACCTCTAAAGAAAATTTCTCCTACAAATAACATAAGTGTTCAAATTAAATATAAATTACTATTGAACTGTTACAGATTATCTATTATAATGACATCATTACCTTAACAAAATCCAAAGCCTGATTTTTGTTACTATTTGATATTTTACGCCATGATTCATAATTGATCGGTAAAAGATTAGCATTACGTACAGCCATGCCTAAGTAACCTCATAGAACACGTGCTTTTGGGCCAATAGGTTGACCGACATCGTTTCTTGAAATTTTCATGCGGTTCCCTGGAGGAAGTTGGTATAATTCCTTCAATGTTGTACGTCCTCTAGTCTTGCATGTTCGACCATTTTCAACTATATAAGAAATAATTCAATATAAGTTTTCAAAATGAACCAACAATTAAAGAAAGTTTCGAACATTACCTTGAATTTCTACAACTTCTTCAACAGTAATCGGAACTTCCAAAGAGCCAACACCAGACGATTTCTCATTATTATTTTTTTCTCCTCTTAAGAAGCTCAAATATTCTGCAAATCACTTAATTTTCTCCTGCGCATGATATATGTAATAAACAAACAACAATTTTAGTGAAAATATTACTATTAATGAATATATTGAAAGACAACATGTTATAAGTTATAATACTATAAATTAATAAATTTACATATAAAATCTTACTACATTGTTATTTTATATCAATTCTCATAAATATCTTCATCCACGTCCTCCTGAACCCATTGAAATTGTGTAGTATTAGTGATAGTTTCATCTAAATTTTATGCTACAAATGGTAAAGCTTCTGATCTTGTTTCAATGTCATCTCTACTTCATCCCTGATGTCTATCAAGTCTCTGGGGGTATTACAGAGCACAACATACCAACCCTCATCCATTGGATCATGACAGTAAAAAAACCTGTTTGACTTGAGAAGGAAATGCATATGACTCATCTATCAATTGTTGACCAATGTGAATTAATCGAGAGAAATTCACCATTGTAAAACCAAATTTATCTCTTTTTATGCCTCGAGTAGTGTTTACATCAACCCAGTCACACCGAAACAACACAACCTTTCATTTTCCATAATAATCTAACTCAATAATGTCTGTAAGAATTCCATAATATTCAACATCTTTCTCTACAGGATGATTGTCCCTGACACTAGCATAACTTGTAGTTGAAGAAGTAACAACTACTCCACAATTTTGTGTCCTCCTTAATCTTTCACGAGATTTTGTGTAGAACCTGAACCCATTAATGAGGAATACATTATATTATATATTTTAACAATTCTATTTAGACTTTGAGAAAACCATTTAACATCTTCACTAACTTCTCTCTCACTCTAAACCTATTACACGTGAAAGGTGAATTAATTAGCATTTATTTCGATATATTAAAACAAGAGTTATATATTATTTACAACTATGTGCAATGATTTAGTTGCTTACCGTCTGCCCTAACCATTCATGAAAAGTTTCTTTGAATAACTTATGTATCTCTTGCAGATGTAATCTTCGGGAGCGTGCATGAGATCTCAAGACTTCTTTAAACTCACTATAAAGTATATTATGTTGTTAAAGAATGAGAAATATAAAAGATTAAGTAAATACATTAGGATTTAGTCCGTAAAACTTACGAGCGAAAGGGATCTATTGAATCATGATGGAAAGGAACATATCGGTGTGCTTGTACCCAAAACTTATCATCTAAGTGTGCAATTTCAACTTTGCCGAGTGGTTCACCATAACTTCCAAAAAAATAAGTATCAGCTAAGTTATTAGAACTGAACACATAATTTCTATTTGGTCTATTCAATCTTGTTTCAATATCTTCCAAATATCTAGAGCAAAAATTCATACATTCCTCTGCCAAATACCCTTCAGCAATTGATCCTTCCGGATAATGCTTATTATTACAGTAAGACTTCAACTTGCACAAGAACCTAGACACAAATCAAAATAGTATGTAAATAGTTATGATGAAAATGTATAATCCCTAGTCATTTAATACATATAAGTCAATTAAAACCTCTCTATATGATACATCCATTGATAGAAAACTGGTCCACCAAATTTTGTCTCGTGATGAAGATGAATTAGCAGGTGCACCATAATTGTGAAAAATGAAGGTGGAAATATCTTCTCCAAGTTGCATAAAGTCAAGATGGCTCATCTTGTAGTTTTTCAAGTTCTTCAACCATCAAAACTTTCCCACACATAACTTTCAATATATTAGAAAGTTCAATGATACAAGACATCACCTTACTTGACATACAACTGCGTAAATCTACTGGCAGCAAATCTTACATCAATATGTGATAATCATGTGACTTTAAAGAATAAAGTCTTTGATCTTTAACACTGACACATCGAGATATATTTGATGTATACTTATCTGGGACCTTTATATCCTTAAACATCGTGCAAAATACTTCTTTTTCTTTCTTTGACATTGCAAAAATATAAAGCAGCAAGAAATATTTTCCATTAGGATGTAACTGTGGGTGAAGAACATGCCGAATTTCGATTTCGACTAAGTGAAGTCAACTTTTTAGGTTATCTTTATATTTTCTTTCGACATTGAGAATGATCCCGATAATATTCTCACAAACATTCTTCTCAATGTGCATGACATCAAGATTATGTCTCAAAATGTGATCCTTCCAATAAGGCAACTCAAAGAAAATACTCATATTTTCCCATAAATCTACCTTATTTGGATCATCATCTTCATCAAACTCATCATCGCTCTGTTGGTCAACATCACAATCATACACCTACTTTATATTTTTCTTTGATCATGTATTCGGTGGTTGATTCATCTTTCCATAAGTAAACTAGATATGTTTTAACATGGAGAAGATATCAGACCCACTTTTTTGCTCAGGTGCTTTTCAAAACTCTTCAATACCATCACATATTCTTTTGACTTCTAAATATATGTTTTTAGCTAACCACCAACGATGTCGCATATAAGAGAACTTTTTTCCATTATACAACCACTTCGAACATGTTTGTACATCTCAACAAGGATAAGCATAAAGACCTTTGGTACTCCAACCAGATAAATTTGCATAAGCAGGGAAATCATTAATTGTCCATAATAAAGTTGTTCGTAAATTAAAGTTCTCATTCTTCAACA